GAAAACCCTAATTGAAGCCCTACTCATGTGCAGCAATTGGTTGGAAACGCGTGTCTTGTACCAGGAATCCTCATTCATCAGTTAGTTCATCACACTGTAGTTGTGGACATGTGTGATGAACTAACTCATGAATGAGGATTCCTGGTACAAGACTGCCAAATACCAGCATGGTCACCCATGGTCATCTAGATACCAGTAAATCAACAGCGAGAGATCTGTATTTATGTCCATTCCAAAGAAAACTTACCCAGCATGATGCAGAAACTATTGAATAATATCATTCACATCACATGCAAGTAAAATGTTGCTGAAGATAACCCAAAAATAGTTGCAGCACTACATTGACAGGGAAGTGCCAGAAATTCAAGTCAGATTCAGAAGAGGACATGGAACAAGATATATAATTCTGAATCAAGCGGCTCTTGGTTGAAAGCAGGGAGTACCAGAAAGATGGTTATTTTTATTTTGTTGTACAGATCATCACAGACTTTGAAAACCATAGAGATAAATGGGACTCCCAGAACCCTTCACTGTGCTCATGTAGAACCTATGCATCGAGCAAGAGGCAGTCATTCAAACAGAGCCAGGGAATACTGCATGGTTTGAAATCAGGAAAGGTATACATCAGGGCTGTATTCTTTCACCATACTTACTTAATATTCATGCTGAGCAAATAATCTGAGAAGCAGTATTATATGACGAAGAAAGCAACATTAGGATTGGAGAAAGACTCATTAATAGCAATGATATGCAGATGACACAATTTTTCTTGCCGTAAGAAGAGAACTCGAAGCACTTACTGATGTCGATCAGACTGTAGCCTTCCGAAGGAATGAAGGGAGATGAAAGTCCTCACAACTGGACCAATAAGCAACATTGTGATAAAGGGTAACGCAACTGAAGTTGTGGAGGACTTTGCTTTCCTTGGACCCACAATCAGCAGCCTGGAAGTTGCAGTCCAGAGATCACGACACACTGCATTGGACAAATCTGCTGTAAGAATTTCTGTAAAGTATTAAAGAGCAAACTTGTCCCTTTGAGGCCTAAGATGTGCCTTCCTTGAGCCATGGTATTTTCAGTCACTTCAAATGCGTGTGAAAGCCGGCCCATTAGTAAGGAAGACAAGTGAAGAGCCGATGCCGGTAAGTAGGATGTTGCTGACAAACTGCCAGGAAAACAAAATAACAACAACAATTGTCTTGGAGGAAGTACAGCCATAATGCCCTTTAGAGGGAGGCCGGGATGACGAGACTCTGTGTCGTGTGCTTTGGATTCCCCGTCAGGAGAGACCAGCCTCTGGCTAAGGCTGTCGTGCCTGCTGCAGTAGAATGTCGGTGAAAATGGGGAGTAGTCTAATTCAGGTGGATTGACACAGGGCTGCAACCCTGGGTTCAAACTTAACAATTGTGAGCATGGCGCGAGACTGACAGTGCTCCATTCTGTTGTACACGGGCTTGATGTGAGTCAGGGCCCTTCACAACACCGTAATACCAAGAGTACTTCTTTTATTTTGAAATGATAATACTAATAATTACTTTATTACTTATTATACCATTTATTATTTATTGAGCACCTACCACATTGTGCTAAACCCTTTTCTAGCTCATTTAGTTCGAAGAATACCATTTTTTTCCAAGAAGAAAAATGAATTTGGGAGAATTGATTCCAAATCACACATCATAACTGGCAGAACTGTAGTTGAAATCTGAGTGTTTATGGCTCTAAACCCCATACTCATGGACATCATGGATAGATATGGCTGTTTTCCTAAAGAGCATCAACATAGGTGAGATATTATCGATAAACCGAGCATCATTTTAGACTGCCCATTTCATTAGTTACAGTGTTCTACTTACCAATAGAGATTTGCATCGAATTGTATGAGGAATGTGACTGTAAAGAATCAGACTGATGACATAAAGCATTTGCAAATGCTATTTTTATTAATAAACCTGACATGGGTATGAGGTCTTTGAAGATAATCCAGTTGCATTTAATATCTCTTTATTTCAGCATCTGCATCATTGTCACTCATTTTCCCCGCAGACTCAGCCACCTTTAGTCAGCGGCTTTGCAGCCGATCTGCATGTTGGAGGGGGATGTCAGCTCCACTCCCTCAGAAATCTGCTGAAGGAATCACCGTGTCTGAGGAGCATCTTTTGGCCAGAAGAGCCCACCTTCAGAGAAGCTGATGCGTGGGCTTTTGAAGCAGGGAGAACAAAGACACATATATGTGGTCCAAAGTTTCCTGTCCTACCTTTATCTTCCTGTGTGGTCTTTTTCATTTCCCTGGGGTTTTTAGTTCTTAAGAGCTTATGTTTTCCTTGTCCTTCTGAAAATCTCCTGTTCAAAAGACCCCCCAAACTCTTCACACCAATGTATGACCAAGATACTGCTGACTCTGGAAAAGAGAAGCCTCAGAGTTGAAGATGCCAGAACGGCTACCCCTTCTTATCAGGATTCCCCCACCTACAAGGTGGAGAGGAAGGAAAAGATGTCCTGTGAACTATGAATTAAGAACCTTAATACATGTGGCAGCAAGGAGTCCCAGTGGCGCAGTGAGTTAAGCATTGGGTTGCTAACCACAAGGTTGGCAGTTGAAATCCACCAGCAGCTCTGCAGGAGAAAAGGAGGCTCGCCCCCCCATGAGTATTTACAGTCTCAGAAACCCTCTGGAGCAATTCTACCTTTCCCTACAGCAGTGGTTCTCAACCTTCCTAATGCCGTGACCCTTTCATAGTTCCTCATGTTGTGGTGACCCCCCAACCATAAAATTATTTTTGTTGCTACTTTATAACTGTAATTTTGCTACTGTTATGACTTGGGCAACCCCAATGAAAGAGTCATTCGACCCCCAAAGGGGTCACGACCCACAGGTTGAGAACCGCTGTCCAACAGGGTCACTGTGAGTCAGAATTACCTCAAAGACATTGAATGATGTGCTAGAAAGGACCTTGTGGGGCAGTAGTTACAGCATTTGGCTGCTAATCAAAATGTTGCCAGTTCACGGGCTGCTCCATTGGATGTAAGATAAGGTAGTCTTCTTCCATAAAGATCACAGCCTTGAAAGGCTCATGGCACTGTCCAGCGTTGCCCTATCTGGCTAGTATAGGTTGGGACCAATTCAGCGGCAATGGCTTTGCTGGTCAGCTCTTTCACACATAGTTTGATTACTCCTATGGTCTAGTACCACCTGCTGGTAGATGTTGTCTCCACTATTCAATTGAAGAGTCAGAGACCCGGTGAGATGGCCTATCTGCTGTTCTTGTAACAAGGGGCAGAACTGGGATCGAACCTTGGTCTGCCAACAGCTTATCCCTTTCTAATAGCATCTTTACGGAACTCACAGCTAGTTTCTGCATGTTCAAATGCATTTTTTGATGCTCCTGGAGAGAAGAAGCCACTCTTTTATCAGATAAAATAACTTTGACCCTGACAGAAGGCCGGGGCGAAGGTGCCCCTACAGTAGAACCCATGACAATCTAAAATAGCCTACGCAGAGGCGCAGCCTCCACAGAGGAGGGCGAGGAGCAGGGATGTCAAACCCAGGCAGTGCATCTCCTCAGCTTGGCTTTCTGTAAGCTGCTCTGAAGAGGGCTGGAGTCCGGGACCTGGACTGCGGGGAGCTCTCAAGGGTGGTAGTTTCCCAAGGGAACAAATAGGACAGTCCGACTTTGGAAGGACCCAGAGGTCCACGTGGTTCTTGTTTGGGCACAGAGCTGCCAAGGGCTTCTACAGCAAAAGGAAGAAATCTCTCTCACACTGGAGTTTCCCCTGTGATCTCTGTGCGATGGAGGAGGTCGCCTGGGGAAGAGTGTTCTTTCTTTTCAGAGTTACCATACTTCTTGTATCTCTCACTGCGTCAAGAGTCGAAGGAAGCCACGCATTTAAGGTCTTTTTAATAGTTATTACTTTATAGATGAGCATTGTCACTGAATGATCTGTGCTCCCTGACCATTTGTAATTGTCGCGATTGGTAGGCAATCTAAGGCTGTTCTTCTAGCAGTAATAGTTTCCATGTCCTTGATGGTTAGGATTCCAGACACAGTGTTTAGGAGGTTATATGAAGCTTCTCTAGCTCTAGACTTTTTTGTTTTCTTCTCTCTATATCGTACTTTATTGTGGACCCACATGGTTACTGTGCTCTTACGTATGTGCTACTGGGACAGTGGACCCCAGTGCCTGCTTGTGGAATGGTATACTGCTCCAGCCCGTGGCTTCCAGGGACTCACCACAGTGCTTTCTGTTGCTTTTAGGCAAAAAATCATGATGAAGGTTTTACACAGCAGTTTGTGTTCATTTAATAATTTCTAAGCAAGTTGTCCTAGGGGATGTTCCCTACAGTGTGTGAGCCTTCACGTGATTTCCATTCTTGTTCTTCCATTTCCCATACAGCTTGTTTCCCTGCCTAATTACCCTCTGATCTTGATTTTAAAGTAATTGTTGACCATTTGATCTCATACAGGTATGGCTGTTTCTGTTTTCTTTTTGTTTTTAAGAACAGCGTACTAATTGGTGGTATTTCTTATTGCTATGCCTAGTCTTGAAAAAGACATCTAGAAAATAATACTAACAGCTGATAATTGTTGCGCACGAGGTGCTAAGCAGCCTTCTCAGTGGCTTGTTGGCGTTCATTCCTTTGATCCTGACAACAATGCCAAAGAAGTAGGTGCTGTCACCTCTTGATTTTATAGATAAGGAAACAGAGTTACAGGGAGGTAAGTATGTACCCCAGGCCCCACAGCCAGTCACTGTGAAGCCAGCCTATGATCCAGGGACACAATCCCGAGCTATAATAGAGGACTCTGGTGCAAACCTGTGGCCTTTAGAAGAATTCGCCTTAGCGTCCTCCTTGAAGTTTCCAATGCTATCACCTGGGCTGTTGGACTCATGCAGAGTGCTGCCCCAGCAGGTGTGGACCAGCAGCCTGGCTGTGCAGTAGTATACCGCTCCAGCCTTGGCGTTCACGGACTCACCACATTGTTTTCTGCTGCTTTTAGGCAAAAGTGACGATGAAGAAAATCTTTGCAAGTCAGCCCACGGGGCTGCGAAAGGGGCCTCTGAGGATGGCAAGGACCACAAGCGCCCCAAGCGTCCCAGAACCATCTTGACAACCCAGCAGAGGAGAGCGTTCAAGGCCTCGTTTGAAGTCTCCTCCAAACCATGCCGGAAGGTACAGGAGGGGAGAGGGCTGACAAAGGAAGTGGCCGTGCCTCTGCACATGCCCCTGGGATGTAGATGGGGCCCTGAGGGTTAGGACAGTAGGGAGGCTGGTTCAACAGAGCCTGTGCATGTGGCCCTGGAGTCTTGTTGGAGACCCCAGAAAGCACTGAGGCTGGGGTCAGGGATATAGTAGGTTCCCCGTATACTTTTAGGCATGCTTATCATCCAATGGGGCCTTTTCTCCTTCCTTTCGGTCCATGGAAAGTCATGGGAGTAATGATAAGTACCAGTGTGGCATCAACTGAGATGCGGTACCCGGGTCTAGAAACACAGTGGCTTAATAAGAGTTTGTTTCTGCCGTCTGTCATAGCTCAGAGGTGAACAGTCCAAGCTACCCATCACCTAGGTCAGAGGGGCTGCTCTGGTTGACCAGTTTGTCCAGCAGGGTAGAGAAAGCCCTGGACACCTGCTCGCAGCTAGGGTAGAGCAAAGAGAACCGAAGGGTCAGCTGATCCAGAGGTTGCTTGCGTCACCTTCCCTCATAGGGACTGGCCACGATTTACTCACATGACTAACCCTTCTGCAAGGGAGGCTGGGAAGTGAGTGTCTTCCTGGCATCACTGATGACCGTGTGTCCTGCTATACCGTGGAAACTCAATTACTCAGCAGAGGAAGGCAGACTGTGTCTTGGATACAGTCAGTAGACTGTCACAACAAACGGGGCCCATTTAGTGAGTGTTGCTTTGAGTCTCCCTGAGTTGATTTTTGACTCCTAGTGACCCCATGTGACAGAGTGGAACTGCCTCCTAGGGCATTCTGGACTATAATCTTTATATGCCAGGTCTGCTCCAGAGCTGCTAGGGAGGTTTGAACCACCAACCTTTCAGTGAACAACTAAGTGCTTACCTCTGAGCCATCAGCACCTGCCATTTATTGACTGCCTGTCATATGATGGGTGCTGCCTTCCACACAATCAGAAGAAAGAACAGAAAGCATCCTTTATTGGAATACATAGGAGACATTGATTATTTTAAGCTGTTAGCATTGCTTCCCCCTCATCCTCTTTGTATGTCAGCTTTTGCTGCGATAACATACAACGCAAAATGTGAGTGGTTCCCAGCAAACATTTATTTCTCATTCCCGGGCTGTGGAAAAGCTCTGGTGGCCCGGTGGGTTAAGCAGTGGGCAGCTGAGCACAAGGTCAGCAGTTCAAACTCTGCAGGGGAAAGATGAGTCTGCCTGCTTCTGCGAAGACACAGAGTCCCAGACACTCTGTACAGGGCGGCTTTGGGTTGGGATCGATTTGACAGCAGTGGCTTGGGCTTGCTTTCGTTTGGTTTGGTTCCCAGGCTGTGGGTCAAATGGGGCTTCCCTGGGTTCAAGTTCAGGTTCAGGTCTGTTTCATTCATTCCAAGGTCCATCTTCAGGGAGCCCCGCCTGCTGTGTGGCTTTCTTCTGAGGATGGCAAAGGGCAGGAGACCAGGGCAAGCCCATCAAAAGCCTCTGCCTGGGTGCCACATGCAGCATCTCCCCCCACATGCAGCTTGTTCAAGCCCCTCAGTGGCTAAGGGTACTATGAGAGCATTGGAGGAGGGAGATCCTCTCTGAGTAGGCCCGAGCTCAGTTACTTAACGCTACATGAACCACATTTCTGGCTCAGGTACGCCCTGGTCCTAGGACTTGCCCCTAGGCAGTTGCCAGGCATCAACTTGAAGGAGATATGTGTGCACACAGCTATAACACTGGGTCAGGGCAGGGAGTGCTGGGGACTGATATAGAGGCGCTGGCCAGGAGCCGTGAGGGAAGAGAAAGGTCACTTCTGTGGAGGGAATCAGACAAGGCTTTGTGGAACAGGTGGCCTTGGCTCTGGGCCTCTGAAGGATGGATAGAGTTTCAACAGGTGGAGCTGGACCCCTGTGCAGATGGCTATTTTTGGTGGCTTAGCAGAAGGAATCTAATCACGCAACTTCTCCTAAGCCTCTGCCCAAGTGGCCTGAGCAAGGGGAAGTGCTTCCTGAAGCCACGGGTTTGCACTGATCATGCCTTTTATTCAAGCTGCTCCTCCCATCCCCGTTCCTCCTGGAATCTAAGGGAGAGCCCAGCGCTGCCGTCTCCTAGGCCCAGTGTCCCCTAGGAAGGCTGTGCTTCTTGCCTCTTCCCTTCTCGCCACTTGGCCAGCCCTGTATGGAGGGCCAATTTTGAACTCATCTGCTAATGCTCTGCTTACTGAGTGGCACAGATGGGTAAGTACTCTACTGCTAGTCAACAGGTTGGCAGTTCAAACCCAACCAGAGGCACCGCGGAAGACAGACCTGGCGATCTGCACCTGAAAAGTCAAAGCCTTGAAAACCCAGTGGCGCAGTTCTGCTTAACAACAGTGTTCTTTCCTGGACCCCGATGGTCCTGTCCCCACACAGCCTCCGTGCATTCGCCGGCATCAGAGCCCCCTGCCAGGTCCCACCTCACTTAGGCTATTGGTGGATATGAATGCTCATTAAAGCCTTCGAAGTCTCTTAACGCTAGGACGGACAACACACAAAACATAGCTCTATGAATTCGGAGAAGAGAAGAGAGGAGAAGGGAGAGCCATTGCTTTTGTCAAGTGACTTCCCTTGTTCTCCTGAAGCATGTTAGCGCGTGTGCATGGAACCCAGCAAAGACACAGGACTGGGCCTTGCTAATGACTAGTGATCCAAACCAAACTCACTACTGTCAAGTCCGTTTTGACTAACAGTGACCCTATATAGCCACACTCACTGCTACCCACTGCCATCGAGTCGAGGCAGACTCACAGCGACCCTATAGAACAGGGTAGAACTGCCCCTGTGGGTTTCTGGACTGTAACTCTTGAAGGGAGTAGATAGCACTGTCTTTCTCCCACAGAGTGGCTGAGTCTTATGGTTAGCACCCCATCGAGCGACCACTGTGCCACCAGGCCTCCTATATAACTATAGGAAGGTCTAATTTCCAGCTTAAGAGAATCCCTGAAGACCCTTGTGAGGACACACATCGGAATAGCAGCTCCCTTGAGCCCTGGTGGTGCAGTGGTTATGGATCCACATGGTTGGCAGTTCGAAACCACCAGCAGCTCCTAGAAAGAAAAAGACTGGGCTTTCGACTCCCATAAAGCCACAGGGTGTCACTCTGAGTCAGCATCGACTGGATGGCAGTGAGTTTGGTGTTTTGGTTCTCTGCCTGAAGAGGAGTTATGCTCTGCGGTTTTTGTCTCTGCCTGTTCTGTAGGATGCTGCCTGTTGGACCCCTACTGTGTGAGGCAGGACACGTTCCAAGCCTCCTTCTCGAGAATGTGATGTTTCTCTCATTTACTAATGTTCCCTTTCCTCAAGGTGAGGGAGACTCTGGCTGCGGAGACAGGGCTGAGCGTCCGCGTCGTTCAGGTGTGGTTCCAGAACCAGAGAGCTAAGGTAACTGCTCCTCACTCCTCCTCTGCCTCTGGCTGCCGGTGTCCTGAAATCATCACAGTAGGAGGTGTTCACTCGCCTCTCCCCAGGTTGTGGTACAGAGCAGTCCTGTTGATTGGAGCTTCTGCTATCAACAACCATCTCAGCCACACATCCCTCGAGAAGGGGAGCAATGAGGCGTTTGTCTTAGAGAAATGGTGGCTTGCCAACCTGATGTGCTCATGAACATCTCTGTGTCTTCCGCTCCTGCAAGCATTGTATGTTTGCTTAACCCAGATTCCCAAGTCCTTTTACAATTTCAGTCAGAAACCCAAATGGCAGACACCTGACTGAGCCCCGCAACGCAAGAGCGTGCAGTGAATGGCATGAGTTTGTTGACTCAGCTTCCCCCAGGGCCCTCTCTGACGTATGCCCAAGGCACCCATTTGTCCTCTGCATCCAGCCAACCCCTTTTTCCCCACACAGTTTTGCTTCTAGATCTTTTTTTCATCTATCCCTAATAATTTATGTGTCCATTCATCTATGGCCTTGACTTTTAAGATGTGATAATTAATGTCTCATTAATAGATCATGACAACTGATGGGTCTGGTAGTATTTGCCTAACTGAATTCCTCAGGGCAGGGCTATTGATGGATACCCCATCAGAAAAGGACTTCATCGTTAAAGAAGAATGAGAGGGCCAAGAATCAGGGCTAGATTTACCCAATCAACAAGGTAAGCATGGGCTAACCGGTGCTTACTTACTATTCAGGGAAACCCATGTGCAATTATTCATTACCCTGTGCTTACCTGGAGGCCTTTGATTTCTGTCAGAAGGCACTGCAGAATTGGGAGAGAGAAGCAAATCCTAGCCATAGACCTAAACGCAGACCTTAGATGTGGTGGGAAAACGTGGAATTGTTCCTTACAGGTTAATACCTTGCTGACTGAGTCCCCCATCCCCGCCAGGAACTGCACGTTATGGAAGAGGCTTTGCAACTGCAGGAAAGCGCTGTGGGGCTGCGAGAGAGCCAGGTGCTAGCCACACCTACAGGCAGAATCCTTGATGTGGTTTAAAAAATGTGAAATTGTCCACGACAGATTAGTGAGTAAGCACCCATGAGCCTGTGCTTACCTTGTTTATGGAGTCATCTGACACTGCCTACAGCCTAGGCATTCAGAAAGCACAGAGCCTTTTGAAAGCTCTGAGCAATAGTGCAGTAACGAAACGCATTTAGTGCTTTTTAGACGGTGTCTCCTCTACTCAGGGCGCACACTCAGAGCAGACCCTAGCGTCGGATGGCGCTCTATAGGCCACAGAACACCGTGTGGGAAACACGGGGGTAAAGTACAGTGTTCCTCCTTCAAACATGCAGCTGGGTTAATGGGTGCTTCGCCTCCCGAAGGCAAGGCGGAACTCGGCAGCACGTGGCCTCCTGCCACCGCCCCGATGGCCTCTGGCTCCAGCTTGGGGGTCGGGGGCCCTGGGAACTCATCCGCTGACACTGCGCGGACGCGGTGCCACAGGCGCCACCCGAGAGGCGCGTCCGTTTCCTTTGCTGAGAGGAGAGCAGCTTCTCAGTAGCAAAGTAGAAAAGGGAAAGTTCCCCGTCGGCTGCGATGCAGCACATCGGAGGCGTTTCTCAAGTCTGGATCCTTGAACACAAAGCTAGGGAAACGCCGCCCTGCGCTCTCACGCGGAGGCCAGCGCTTCGTGTTTCCAGCTTCACCCCGGACCCGGCTGGGCGGGGAGGGGGTGCCGCCACTCTCATCCTGTGATTCTTGCTTCGCCAGATGAAGAAGCTGGCCAGGCGGCAGCAGCAACAGCAGCAGGATCAGCAGAATACCCAGAGGCTGGCTTCTGGTAAGCGTCGGCGCTGACCCATTCACTACACGCACCTTCCCGGTGGGCTAACAGGTGTATTCCGCAGGCCGCGCGCCTCCACCTGTCACCCGCCGCCATCGCAGAGGTTTGTGCGTTGCTCTCACGCTGAACTGGCTTCAGTGGAGCCTCCAGTAGGAAGACGGGGCTGCTATAAAGAGCCGCAGTCTCAGAAACCCCGGGCCTGGTTCTACTTTGCCCAGTAGGCCAAGGAATCAGAGTCAATTCTACAGAAGTAGATTTGGGGTTTTATCGTGTTTGGGGTTTTTCAAAATCATTTTATTAGGCGGGGGACGGGGTGTCTTCTAAATCTTTTAACAATCCATCTTTCAATTGTACTAAGCACACTTGTACTTAGGTTGCCATCAACGTTTCCAAAACCGATTTTATTGTTGTGTTTTGAGTCCGCCTGCAGACAGGCTAGGAAGAGAAGCCTGGTAGTCTACTTCTGGAAGTCAGCCAAATGAAAACATGAGGGTATCACAACGGTGGGCTCTGCAGCCCGTCTTGGGGATGGCGCAGGACCAGGCAGCAGCGTTTTGCACGGGGTCACCGTGAGCCAGGGGCTGACTTGACAACAACTGACAAGCACAGTCCATTAAGTAGAAGCCATGATTGGGACTTGGCCACTTCCCAAATAATGCAAATAGGGCAAGTAATGGGGGTGAAATAAAAGTAGTCCCCAGGCCTTCTCCCGGATGCCGTTCAGACTCAGACGACCATGAGACTCACCCTTAGGTGAGCAGAGAGATGATCACTACTCCGTAGATTATTACTACATTCCGTAGATGAGCAAACCAAGCCTCTCCGAGAAGGAATGCGGTCCTGGATCAGGAAGGGATGGCGCTGGGCTTAGAGCCCATCACTCTCGGATGGTCAATTCCTCCTGCCTTCCCCACCCTTCCATGCCACTCGCCCTTCATTAGGTTGTCGTGCTTGTTCTAAACAAGGTTGTTCTATGAATGGGAAATGGGTTGAAAACAGTGTGTAGGAGTCTTCAAGGATGTTAAAAGAAGAAAACCAAGAATCACTCTAGTAGAACAACATCTTCTTCCAAGGCTGTGTCCCTAATAATCCATCTGGGAGAATTGCTTGAATTTTCTTTATGTCTTGGAATACGGCTTCTCACATTGTCTTGGGCACAGGAATCGCTGAGGATCTTGTTCCGAGGGCGGATTCTGATTCAGAAGATCTGGGTGGGGCCTGGGAATCTGCATTTTAACAAGGTCCTCAGTGATGCTCCAGCTGCTTATCTGCAGAGGGAGGACCACACTCTGAGTCATACAACATGGTGTCGGTTCTCAACCCCGTCAAAAGAGCTCCTTGTCCTTGCAGGGACCCTGCCATGGGCTGGAAACCTGGCCTAGGCTCTACTTAAATTTGGCTTCTTTCCTTCCTCCAGCCAGGAATCCCCTTGGTTTCTTACTTACAAGGCTAGATATTCGGGAGAAAGAAGAAGCTTTCTACTTGCATAACGAGTTACAGTCTGGGAAACCCACAGGGATAGCTCTACTCCTGTCTTATAGGGTTGCTATTATGAGTCAAAATCAACTATGAACTGACTGGAAGGCAGTGAGGGTGCTGCATATTAATATCAAGATCTATGTTCCAAAGATAGAAAAAGGAAACAAAGGCATTGGTGCAGAAGAACAAAGCAGCAAGCTGGTGAAGACACCTGAATTCTACCCTTTGCTTCACCCCCCAAAAAAGTTCCATCTGGGACTAGCCTTTCATCTCCTGTAGCCTCAGGCCACACAGGAATCTAACACTTGACTCATGGGGAGACCCATGCACAACAGAATAAAATACTGCCTGCCCCTGCACGAAACCTACGAACACTTGTAAATTGCACCATGGTGATCCAGAGAGTTTTATTGGCTGGAAGTAGATCACCAGACCTTCCTTCCTACTCTGTCCTCTGAAACCTCTTCGGTGTCATAGCAACATGCAAGCCGTCAATGACAGATGAGTGGTCGTTTCACATGTGATGATTAGCTGGAAATCAAGCCTAGGGTCTTACTCATACGAGGCAAGAATTTTGCCCCTGAACAAATCTCCAGAGTAAGGTGATAATGTCTAATAACCCTATGTTCAGAGTCCCTGAAAGTTCAAAGAGAATTGTAGAAAGGAGAGCCATTTAGTGAGAGCCATGGAAGTTGACCCCATAGTGGCCAATACACTCAAAGGGACCAGAGTTCATGAAGGCATTATGAGGGCACAGACTCAGTGCTTGGGACCAACTTCAAATAATTCTAAAGGTGGACCCCAGGATAGGCTTCAGAGTGCTGAGACCTGTGGGAGAAAGTTGCTCTCATCTTGTAGCTGAAGAAATGGAGACCTTGGGTGTTGCTACAACCGTGTTCAGGGAACCACAGCAAGATTCAGGGGCAGGGCCTGAGTTTTAGTTTTGAGAAAGTTCTGCATGAGTGTACCATCCTGTAATCACTTATACCAGCCCATAGTTGTGTCAGCTCCAGGCGGTCACCCGGCCCAGCGTGGGGATTCCCACTCGACCGGTGGGCTCCTAGTGAGGTACCACTGGGAGGAGCTGCAGAAGCCTGCACTCCAGTGGCTGCCAAACCAGGGCACAGCCTCCAACTCTGTTCAAATGATAGAGGGCCAGGAAGCTCTCCGAGTAAACAACCCCTCCCCTTCATTCCGTAACCTCCAAAGTGATTCCTGTGGGATCTTCAGGAGGGCACAGGCTGGGCACACTCACATCCCCTTATCCCCTTCTTTTTATGAGTGAGCCCACCAAGATCCAGAGAAGGAAGCTTATCTGGCCAAGATGATTCCATTGGTGTGCTAACAGCCTCTCAGATGGCCCTCTGGGATGATTCCTCCAAAGGAGGGTCATGCCCTTGTGTAGTTCTCTGCCATGCTTCTGAGGGCTAACCTAGACAGTGACTTTCAAAGTCATCAAAGACTCTGTAGCTTCTGCTTCGGCCTCTCTTGGAGGCCAGCTGCCAAGTGACAGGATACTTAAATAGCAGCCCTACGGACAGGTCCACATGGCAGGATTTGCATGGGCCTCTCAGACCCAACACATCCGTCTCCAAGGCCAGGGCTCCCTGCCCTGCACTGACTGACATGTCTCGCTCACTCTCTTCTGTGGAGCAGACCAAAGGCCAGTGCTAGGAAGGAATGCTGGGGGGCCGGGGACGTGTAACCCAGAGGATGCTCTGTGGCTCTCTCTCCCAGTGACACCGG